AAGGGTCGTTCAACCGCCAAAGGGGTCGCGACCCAGAGGTTGAGAACCACTGCTCTAGGCCAAGGGCCATGTGGATCTAACATCATTCACCGGCCATACAAAATAATCAACTGAAAAATTAGCCTGCTAAAAAAATAAAATAAAAAACTAGCCTGCTATATTTGATCAAACATTTCGTTATCTCACCCCTAATGCCCTGGCAGGGCTGTTCCCGCCCTGCTCTAGGAGCACACGCACAGGAGTCCAGCCTGGTCCCACCGGCCTTCCCCACTCCAGCTCCACTCACTCACCACTCCTGTCCGGCAGGGGGTTCAGTATTACCACTGGAAAGAGCAGAACCTGTCCTGGGCCATTCCTCAAACGCTTGGCTTCAGGGGCCCACACACGGGGATGAGCCACACTGAGATGGCGCCACCACTGCCAGGTCCCTGCCACATCGCAGAATGCCGCAGACCAGGCCTCAACCGGGCGACTGAGAAAACAAGACTATGTGAGACCTCTGCATTCTGCTGAGAGTGGGAATGTCGTTTACGTCCTGCAAGCCCAAGACCGAGTTCAACTTCTTTCAACGGCCGACAGAACCGGAACCTGGGTAGCTCACACGGACCCACTGGCAGGCGAGCCCCTTCCCGTGCCCCTTCCCCGGCAGTTCCTCAGAGCTGTGCCCACGTCAGGGAGGGGTGCTGGGTGCAGGCAGGGCTCTTTAGGAAGCTGCCTAATGAGCTCATTAGAAGGTTTTGCTCCTTTCCCTGCGCTGAAGTCAACAATGCCCGCGTTCGCCACCTCCCCATGGGGCGCTTCTTTTATTAAGCTCTCGGTGCTGCAGGGAACACGTGTTCCCTTCAGGAAAATGTATTCAAGCGGCAAACCCCGTGGACAGGGCTGCACAAGAGGGTGGGTAGAGGGTGTTAGAGGTGTTGGTGTGTCCCTGCTGCCCACCATCCCTCCCACCGGGGGGTTTGGGGTGGGCCGCGAGACTCCCCAAGGGCAACCTGAGGTGGAATAAATGGCGGCAGTGGCTTTTGGACTCTGGTTTCGAGTCTGAACGAACTGGTTTCCCAGCGAATCTGGCTTTTCTGCACTGTGTCGCACCGAGGCCCAGCTTTCCTCCCACCCTCCCCAGGGAGCAGCGGCCAGGCCACAGGAAAGCAGGTGGGTCAGCACAGGGAGATGCTTCATCCGCTGCCCAAACTGCATGGTCTGAAAAGGTCTGAGCAGGGAAAGGGGAAGAGAGTGGCCTGAAGTTCATGGGAGAAGAGGCCTGACAACAAGAAGAAACAGCGCCGGTGGCCAGCTGAGGAACGACCTGGCACCACGGAGGCCAGCGGAGCAGGCCGGACAGCTGCCCCTGCCACTCAGCTCCCAGAGGCCCCTGAGCACATCATTTTATTTTCAGTTTTGTTTCCTGGCCTGTAAAATGGAAATAGCAATGGCTACTTGACTCAGCTGCACAAAGGATTAAATTAAATGAGATCATGCGAGCAAGAGTGTTCAGTGTCACGGCCAAGGCGTAGGCCGCCGGGGCTGCCCGCCCCTCTCCTCGAGGAACAAAAAGGCTGCCTCCCTCCCAGGCCTGTCTTTCTGGCATTACCAGGGGCAGCGCCACACTAATCAGCCAGCCCACCTTTCTGCTCAGGGTCTGCATAAGTGACCCAGGCTGCCCCCGGGAGTGCCTCCAGGTGCTGCCTGCATTCCAGAAGGGGCTGCTCCCTCCAAAAGCGGCCAAGGCGTTACTCAGCCCAAGCATGCTCTCAGGTGACATCAGGATGAGGTCCGAGGGCAGCGGTCGCGAGGAAAGGGCCTGCTGCCACCATGAGCACTGGGATGCGTGCGTCAGCTGCTCTGGAGCCACGGCCTGAGCCAGGACCGGCATCTGCGCCATGACTGCTACCTGTGTGCCGTCCACTCATCAGAGCTGTCTCCCTGGTGAGACAGAGATGACCATCTCTACCCTCCTCTTCTGGCTCATCTGAGACTCAGTCACGTAGGTGCAGGTGACACTCTCTCACCTCTCCAAGGAGGTCGCCCTCGTTGGCCTCTCTGCTGGCTGCGTTCACCACCTGACTTTCATTAGAGGGAAAGTCATGTCTGCTCACTGTCAGCCTCTTGGTGGTCGGGCCAGATTCTGTCTCTCATCTGCGGCTCCTGCGGTGCCCCCACAGTGAGCTCTCCCTCCATTCTCACCACTCAGCGTCACAGGACACACATATCCCCCTCGCACTCCTCACTTCCTCTCCACCTAGTTCTGCTACACCTGCAATAGATTCCAATGATCCGTCTCATCAGCCATAACCATTCATTTATGTATTCAGACACCTATCCAGTGTCTTTTACGGGGAATGCGGGGATAAACATGGCAATATCTCTACTCTCAGGAAGTTCACACTAAAACCATGTAGGAAGCAGAGTCCTAGAAAGTCTATGGGGTTGGCAGAGTTGGGACTTGATATGATCCTTGCCTTCAAGACCTTTATGCTTTGGGACAGCGAAAGCCAAGAGGTATGAGGGCCCTCAGGGTAGTGTGACCCCCGCATCCCCGCCCCCCAGCTCTGAGCCACTCCATCCGTGCCCGGCACCCACTCAGCGATGGGATTCAGTGACGTCACTGGGCATGTTCTTGCTCCAGTAGGTGAGCTGGCTTGGCTCTGTATTGGGCTAAGTTGCAAAAAAACCCAAGTTCCTGCTTTGACAGGTCATGGCTAAACTTTGAAAAGTCATCTCTTCAGGCTGCGTGTGCGTATATCACGTTTCATATAGCTGACCTCTGCCTTAGCCCCAGGCTCAGCTATCCCACTGCCTACTTGACATTTCTACTTGGAAGTAAGGCCACTCGGTATCTCAAGTTTAACATGTCCACCAAACGCGAGATGTTTTTTTCCACACCCCACCTGTTCCTCACCTAGGCCTTCCCATCTCAGTAGATGGTGCCACCTTTCACCCAGTTGCTCAGGCCAAAAATATCTAGGTGTTATCCTTGGTTCTTCTTTCTCTTTACCCCACATCCAATGTATCAGCAAAACATAAAAAACATAAATTAGGTCACACCAGTCCCCTGACTAAACACCCCCAACGGCTTTTCACTGGCCTTCCAATAAAATCCAACTCTTAACCATAGCCTATAAGATCCTACCATGCCTGGCTTCTCTGACCTCAGTTCTTAGCAAACTCCATTTTCATTCAAAACCCTCCAACCACCATGGCTCTCTCTGTCCTCTAACGTGTCAATCTGCTTCCTGCCTCAGGACCTTTGCACAGCCTGAAATGCCTAATCTGTGTGGCACCTCCTTAGAATGGCCTTATTTGATTATCATAACTAATATTATCTCTTTATTATGCTACTCAATTTTTTAAATCCTCACCTGAGGATACTTTTCCATTGATTTTTAGAGTGGAGGGGGGGGAGAGAGAGAGAGAGAGAGAGAGAGAGAGAGAGAGAGAGAGAGAGAAATGTCGATGTGAGAGGGACACATCGACTGGTTGCCTCCTGCATGCACCCCGACCCTGATTGAGCCTGCAACTGATGTACATGCCCTTGACTATGAATTGAACCCAAGACCCTTCAGTCCATGGGCTGACGCTCTACCCACTGAGCCAAACTGGCCAGGGCTGCTACTCTATTTTACATCTATAACAGTACAGTTGACCCTTGAACAACACAGGTCTGAAATGCACAGATCCACTTATACACAGGACCGTATCTATCTATCTATATAAAAGCCTAAGCAACCAGCCAACTGGCTGGGAGCTATGACGCACAACAACCACCCAGGGGCAGACACTCAACACAGGAGCTGCCAAGCTGCCGTGACTTGGCAGCTGTGGTTCTTGGGTGACGCACCTGGAACGAGAGGAGGGAGCCCGATTCCGGAGTGCGTCACCGGAGAACTGCCCTCTCGCAATCCGGGACCCCTCAGGGATGTCGGAGAGCCGGTTTTGGCCTGATCCCCGCAGGCCAGGCTGAGGGACCCCACCCGTGCACATGCACCGGTCCTCTGGTATCCAATAAATATGTACAGTACTGTAATTGTATTTTCCTTATGATTTTCTCGGTAACATTTTCTTTTCTCTAGCTTCCTTTATTGTAAGAATATAGTGCATATTGCATATAATATACAGAATATGTTAATTGACTGTTATCAGTAAGGCTTCCAGTCAACAGGGTATTTTTTTCCAGGTGGGGGTGTCAAAAGTTATATGTGGATTTTCAACTGCTGGGGGTGGGTGCTGGTGTCCCTAACCCCAAGTTGTTCAAGGGTCAGTCATATTTACCTAGACTGCCTTATGTACGCATCCTTGCTTATTTTGTCCAGAACTAAAATGTAAACTTAATTTTCATGTGGTAAGACCTCCCCTGATTCACTGCCGTCTCTCCAGCACCTCGCACAGTTCCTGGCACATGGCGGGTGCTCAATAAATACCTAACCCACAAATGAATGAATCCCGCGCTGCAGCAACCCGGAGGGGAGCGAGACCGGAAGTCTGGGACTCACCCGGGAGTATGTCTGAGGGCGCACAGCCGCCGCCGCCGCACGGACTTACAGGGGCCGGGGGAGCATGGAAAGCTTAGCGGGGCCTGCGGAGGTCCGTGCACAACACTGCGAGGTAGGGGGTCGAGTCAGGGTTGAAATAAGCCTACGACTGTCACCATCCCGACCGGCGGCGTGGGTCTCAACTTGGCCGCACCTTGAATCATCGGGAGCGTGTACCCCAGAGATGCCGATCTACTATTGCTGGGTGCTGCGGACACTGGTAGGTTGTTAAAAAGCTGCTCCGGTAACTCCAAGGTGCAGCCAGAGGAGAGCACGGAGCACAAATAGGTCGTCGCTCTCGGAGGTTCCCCCGGGACAGCGGGGTCCGCGCGCACGTGCCGCCAGGGAGGAAGGGCGCGCGCATGCGCGGCCATCGCCGCCGGCCAACTACTAGGTCCCACCCCTACCTCGTTCGGTCCTCCCCTCGCCCGACCGCCGCCCCGCCGACGGCGGACCCCACAGTCCGGTCACCTGGGTGTTCTCTCCCTCCCGAAACGCCTGTGCTACCCGCTGCCGCAGGTAAGCGCCCAAGTCCCGGCCCCGTTTGGTCTCGTCCACTGGCCATTCCTCACAGAGCTTAAGAAAACGCCGGTAGCGGCTGGCCGCCATTTTGGGCCCCGCTTGTCCCCGCCCTTGAGGGAGGAGTCAGCCGGCGCTTGCGCACTGGGGCCCGCAGGCTTCCCGAAGGAGGGGCGGGGCGGGGGAGGAGTGAGCATGCGCACCTTGGGGCGCCCGGCTCTCCGGCAGGGGCGCTACTGGCCTGTGTCTGCGCGCAGACCTCACCAGCCCGCGTTCTCCTGGAACCGGCCCAGCAACCAGGGCAAGTCCGACGTGGAGAACCCCAGGGACAGCTTGGCTCCTCTTTTTCAATGACTGCACAAGCTCCAGACTAAAAAACCCTCCTGGGAGAACCGTGCTAATTTGCATAAGCGAATACATTTGCATGTAAATACAGGTTGTTATTGGATGAAGATGTGTTTGAACTTAATCACGCATTGTGCACACGCGGCTCGCACGCACCCCACCTCCTGCCGCATTCTCTCCTCGCAGCCCCTGTGCCTGTGGCTGCCACAGCTCCTCCTTCAGTGCTCTCGGCCTGTCCCTCCCAGCGCCCCTCCCCAGCCAGGCACTTTCCCCCGGGAAGCACACATTTCCCAGCTGGAGCAAAAAACCTCGGGAAAACGTTTTTTAAAAACCAAGCCTTCACGGTACATCTCCATGTGGAATGTCCCAATTTTTCTTTTCAACAGATACCCGCACCTTCCAGGTTTTCCTTGAGAAAGCCTCAGCCCCTCTGTGCCCGCCGTCCTGCTCAGCCGGACTTCCAGGCTGCAACACCTGGCTCCCCCCCAGCCTTTCTTCTCACCCCCTACTTTGTCCAGGGTTGTCCAGGAGACTCCTGCCTTGAGTAGGGGGGTGAATACACAGCCCAAACCCGCAGATCAGAGCCTGAGGCCTTACACTGAAGCGTTAGAGAGTGCTGGGGAGCTTGGAGAAACAGACTTCTAGCTGCTCAGGGGAGCAAGGGAGAGATCAGGGTGCACCTGGAGGAGATGGCATTTGGCTGGGCCCTGAAGGATGGTTAGGATTTGGGAAGTGGGAATGGAAGGACCCTGAGCCGCAAGAGGCAGGGCGGGTGCGGGATGGGGAGAGAGGAAGAGGGAGGAGGCTGATTTGAGGAGAGATCAATGGGAGGTTTTAACAAGGAACAGCTTTGCGCTGTTCTGGAGGCGGTAAGAGTGAAGATCTATTGAATGTAAGTGCAGGTTGTTATTGGATGAAGTCTCCCTCTGGGGATCCAGGGTGTGCAACGCCCACTTGAAGTGAGTGAGTTCAGGGAGGGGGTGCCCACCTGAGGTAAAGAGAGTTCAGGGGGAGTGGAAATGCATGCAAGGGCTCCCCCACCATGTCCCAGCCCGACTGTACCCCTGCTCCATCCTCAGCTGCAATTACAGACTCATCGTTTTGTTGGCTGCCCCATGGCTCAAAGGGCCAGGGTGGCATCTACTGTCAAGCTCCCGGCACCTAGGGCTGTGCTGGGCCCTGAGCCGTGTTCCGCCCGAGGTCCGATCACAGCTGTGGCTTTGAAGAGCACCTGACTAGCCGAGGACAGCTCCTGGGAGGCAGGGACGGAGGTCCCCCTGTCTTCGGCAAGAGGAAGAGCGACATTAGATGGCAGTGAATGGTTTTCACCCCCCTTGAGCCCAAGTGCAATGAGAGGCTGAGAAGAGCTGGACACCAGGGGAAATCCAAACCAGTGCCTCCTTTGAAGGCCCCCCTCCAGCCCAGCAAGCATCTCTGGTCAGGGCAGGGTTGTCCCTGGTTCAGACTTCCCCACACAACTCTCTTCCCCCACCAGAGGCGTGTTTTTGTCTTGGTGGTTTAGTAGTGAGGCTTTGGACCTGCGTTGGAATGTGGGCTCATTCATTCATTCATTCATCTAGGACTGATCTGTGTAATTTATGGGGGCTCCATGCAAAATGAAAATGTGAAGCTCCTTGTTAAAAAATGACTGAGAATTTCGGGACAGTAATAGAGAGCATTAAACCACATTTGGGGCCCTTCACAGGTCACACACCCATGAGACCTCCCTGCACTGTGGTTGGCGAGACTGACAAGAGCCCTATTCTGGGGGAGACAGCCAGCAAGCATACACTCACCATGGTAATGGTGCTTTATAGGTATGAAGTCATTCACTAACTGAGCAAGATAATTTCAGAAGTGATCAGTGTCAGGGAGAGATCAAGGCAGAGTGTTGGGAGAGGGGTCTGGGTGGTGGAGGGGCTTGAGTGTGAGAGACCTGACTCCCCGAGGGGCAAGAGCGGCTTCCAGGCGAGGGGCAGCCGGTTTGTTGTTCTATCGGGCGGGTTGTTTACCTGCTCTGCGCTTCAGTTCTTCATCTGGAAACGGGACTTCAGTGATGAGTTAGCACAGCTATTCGCTGCGTGCCAGGCACTGTGCCACCTGCCTTACACATACTGGCTCACTCAGTCCTCCCGTGGCTCTGAGTTAAGTACCACAACTGCCTCCATTTTACAGAGATGGAAACTGAGGCCCAGAGAGGATATGGACTTGCCAAGGTTGCCAGCCGGCAAATGGCAGATCCTGGGCTTGAGCCCCAGCTGGCTGGCTCCAGAGTCCACGCCGTTGCCCTCTTCGGCCTCCTTGAAGCGTTACGGTTGTGGACTGCGTGTGTGATGAGTTTCTGTGCGAGTTGGAGTTTCCTGAGGGGCTGGAGGGTCCCCTCTGGGTTTGCTTTATGTGGTCTCCAACCCCCATACCCCCATGTCTCCGTGGGTGGTTGGAGCCGAGTCTGGGCTCACTGGCTTGTGGGTCACCCAGTGCCATTCTGGGCACATTAATAGGCACTGGCCTAGGATGTGGCTTGGCCAGTCCCAGCCCCCAGGGAGTTGATGACCCTTTTAACACCCTTGTGCCAGCTGTCACTCATTCCCCACTGAGCACAGAATGCAGCCCCCTCCTGGCTCCTTGAAAATCCCACCGGGGCTCACCTGTGGAGGCCCTGGGAGGGGGACCGGGCTCTCTGGGGCTGTGACCCCTCTTATAGAAACAAGGCACCGTCAGCGTCGGGAGGAGAGGGAGGGAGAGAGCCGGCTTCAGTTTTCCCGTTATGATGGCCCCAGTAATTGAGATGCTGAATTGCACATGTACTCGTAAATCACTTGAAAGTAAAAATGTCGTTTTGTGGTGCTGGTGTTAGTAATGCAAAGATTTAAAAGGAATTAAATACTTAGCTGTATTGTAAGGCCTGATTGCCTGATTTTCTTCTTTCAGCTTATTCACCTGGAGGAGATGATTGGCTGCTACACCCACATATGTTACCATAAAATGTGGGCTGGGACCTGCATCTGCACCATCCCCTTAAAGGTGGCTGCGGCCCTCGGTGGAGGAGAGCTCTTTTTAGGATGCACAGGGGTTTGAGGAGTGCTGGATGGCCTCGGGGCCTCCTGACGTGCACCCTGTCATCTCCAGAGCCCCGGCCCTGTTGACACATCGTCATCTGCCCCTGGATCTGCCTCCCTCCCTTCACTCTGCTCTCTGGTCCATGTGCCCAGAGAGGCCACCCCTTCGGGCCCCTTCGCTCACAGCGCCTCACTCAGAGAATTGGGAGAGAACATGAGAATAGAAAGCCAGGTCTCCTCACCCACTTGTTCCCACCCTCACCCCTGCTCCTATAAGCTTCTCATTTTTAGAGGCCACGGGAGCAAGGCCAAGGGCAAACAGGAGCCGGCTTCTGGGTTTTGTTCTCTGATAAGCTGTCAAACTTCCTGTCCTTTTTCAGGGCAGCTGAGTGGGAAGGGAGCCGTTCTGAGCAATGGTGATGAGAAGGCCCGGCCGGCCGGCGGCTGCAGACAGCCTGCCTGGGGCGCTCAGCTTGGCATTGCCCAGAGCTGCTTCTCCCTCCCTCCCTCCCTCCCCTCTAATTCTTGGCACCCAGGCCTTCATTTTAGATCTTTCCCTCATCTTGTGTTTTATGTGTTTGGCCCCCGAGGATGCAGATTTAAATCCAGTCAGAGTTTAGATCATGTTGAAGGGCTGCTGCTGAGTGTTTTATGAGGCCGCCTCCTGCCCTTTCCAACCTGGGCTCAAAGGCTCCATGCGGCTGGCAAGAGTGATGGGCTGCCGGAGGCCCAGGGCTTCCTGACAGCAGTGCAGGATGGAGAAGCTGCATTAACATCCTGTTCTTTCGCTCCCTCTTCAGTCGCACAGGGGGCTCCAGGGCACGGAGGTGGGGCTGGGTGACCCTCCCAGGCGGCCTGTGCTGCCGTGAGGCGGTCGGGAGCAGGTTGCTGTCCACATCACCTGTCTGAGGATGAGAGTTCCCGTGGGGCGGATAAGGAAGCCGGTCGGGGAGATGCTAGTAAATCTACCAGACTCAGGGCACACTGGCCATGAGGACATGCAAGGGGAAGGGTCTGGTCAGCACTGCAGCTCTGGTGCTGCCAGGCCCCCGCGGTCCCCCACGTGCCCTCTGGCTCTTTATGTCTCCGTTTCTCCCTTAAGTCCGGTATCACTTAACATGCGGGTTATGGAGAAAGAGGTCACGGCAGAGGCTGGATTCTCATCAAACCCACTTCCTCTCTGTAGGCACACAGTTAAGCTACATCTCAGCTTCTTGGCATCCGGGAAAGGCCGCACGACCGGTTCTTGCCCATGGAATGTTCTCCATGCTGGCTAACGTTTAGGCCTGTGGGTGAGGATGGTGCTGTCACAGGATGGAAGGAGCCTGCGTGCCGGGATGACTGTGTGGTTCAGAGGTGCTCTGACAACTACATTGGATTGTAATGCTAAGCTACTGCTATTTGGAGATGGTTTGTTATAAAGCTAGTCTACCCTAATACCTGTGTGTTCTTCAGTTCACACAAGAAGAGAGCTCCCCAGTCTGGGAGCCTCCTGGTGTGGAGGCTCTTAGGTGCTCCAGGCGAGGGGGAGCTGTAGGGGGGGAGGTTCTGAGGTCTTTTCTGTCCTCATGTTCTGGGGTTTCTCCATTTCCATCTTACTCTCTCTTGGTGCCCCTGTCCATCAACCTCCGTGGCCAACACAGACCACATCCCTGAACGGAATGCTGGAGTCCCCATTCCCGTGCTTGGAAATCCATTCCTGGAACACCTGCCCTTTTTCACCTTTCA